TTAGAGTATTTATCACAATCTGACATAATATTACAAATGTATTTGTTCATTGTCTACCTTGTCTATGAGGGCAGGAATTTTTGTCTGTTTTTTCACTGTTAGAACAATGCCTGGCACATGCTAGATGTTTAATAGCTATTTAATGACTAAATAAATGAACAGGTGGGATTTTATATAGTTTGCTCGCAACTTAAAAAGAAATACTGTTACTAGTATTTGTTCCTAGTTCAGCAACACAACAGTCCTTGTCATTGTGGGGATTTCTGCAAAGGTTTTGGACTTTTTCCAAGCAGGTAGTATCAAATGTGGTATCAGATGGCAGTGACTAAACAAGAAGGCTAAAAGCCATCTGTAATTTCCAGTTTTTCCTTTGTTCCAGGGCAAAGCAGTGTACAGCTCTGGATAAGTGGCCTCTTCTTTGTACAGATGGAGATCATATCCCTTACAAAGTGCCTAAAGCCCTAAAGTGGCTTTCTTTTTTGATGCAGATGACCCTAATTGCTTCTGAAGCCCTTAGTACCTTAAGAAATGTTATTCTATTTTTCTGTGCAGAGTCTCCAGTAGCCATGCTCTCACTTTTGGTTGCTTTGTTTTTATTCTCTTGATATATTGATTTTGGCTAATAATGGTACAGTACAGCAAAGGTTTTATCTGACCAATACAGCCTAGGAGACCATTATGATGGTAGATTCAGAGTCCTGCAGCCCCAAACGTTACAACGAATCCAGTTAAAGGAAATTTTAAGTTTATATTTTTATAAGAAAATTTCATGAAAAAACGGTAAGTTTTTATTTTTAATAAGATAAAAAGTTAATTCCATCAAACAGACACCAATGTTAGATACTTTCAATATTATTTCTCACTTTTCAGAATACGTAGCACAAACATGAGAGTTATCTTACTGAAATTAAACCTTTGTGAGAGTTGGTTTTAATAGACTGGGCTTTTAGTGATGAGGTTAAAGAATGATCGTTTAGTATACTGATAGAAATAGTTATGATGACACCTAGTTTTTCATGATGCATTTTAAGCACTAATGAGACATTTACTGATAAGTAAAAAAGGATGGTCCCTCCAGAGAATAAAGATTAAAAAGGTCCTAACAGTGATATGCAGTCCCTAAACACAACCCATCTAACTTCTCCTTCTCGTCCAAAGTAAAATTTTAAGTTGAAAGATGAAAAACCTGCCTCCCTGTTGCCATTTCACAAATATGCCAGCGTAGTACCATATTAGCCACTAAGACCCAGATATTTTCTTCAAAGATCAATTGTCATATATATTGTAAAATATCCATTTTTTCAAGGGAATCAATAAAACTATATTTATTTAAAGAATGGCCCATCAACATTTTTATTTCTCTTGAATTGTCTCACACAAAAAGATTTATTCTCAAAAATGGTCTAAAGAGAAAGCTGCATGAAGCAATGCCCTATTTTAATCACCCCTTTTTTAAAAAAGGTGGTGAGTGACCTCTGGAGGCAAGTGGAAAAAGTATCCTGCTGCTTTCAGGAGTGAAGTGGGGAGAATCAGAAAGTAGATCTTTCCATCTAGAGAAAAAAATTTTTTTGATGTTTAATCAGGGTGAATTAAAACATTTAACTTTCAAATTAGTTAACTGAACCTCAATTCAATTATGTAATATTTTAAGTATATAATACAATGCCACAGGGGAGATAGAGACATGAGATCCATAGTTTCCATCTCATTGAGCTTACAATCTCCTAGGGAACTAAAGAGAAGTGTTGAAATAACTATAACACAAGCTAGAATGTGTGAGAACATTTAGGAGTAGCATAGCTACATAGGAATTCAGAGTTTTGGTTAGGTTGTTCAGAAAAAGTCTACTACATTCAACGAACATTTACTGAAGACAAACTGTGTGCCAGGCACTATGCTTGAGGATAAATAAGACACAGTACCTTCCTTCAGGCACTCTTGGTATAAAAGGGAAGCTGACACATAAATAGGAAAATTCTATAGGTAGTAGCTGGTGGCCTATTAGAATTATGCACAAAGGAGGGAAACTAAAATAGTCCCGAGACTGAGAGGAGGGTCAGAAGAGGCTTCCTAGAGGAAGTAACACCTCCGCTGACTCTTCAAAGATAGGTAGGGATAGTTCTGGTTCGATGTTGTCATCATAAGCCTGCTCCAGCCCCTCTCCCACTGATGACAACTAACAACTCACGATGAAATACAAAGAGCTGAGGACTCTGAAAAGTGAACAAAGGAGGGGAATCAAAACTTAGAAAGAAACCCTTCAAGGCAATGAGTTGCCTGGCCTGGGTAGCTAAAACTCTGATAGAAACGCCATCTTCCTTGTTCAAGGAACTGAGAAATGGAGACGCTCTGGGTTGGAAAGCGAGTGGGGAGGTGGGTAGGGGAGAGCTAGAGAAGGTGATCACTAAAATTTTGTGTATGAACCATGCAAGCCCTTTGGGTTTGCCCGTGTGTGTGACAGACACCCGAAGCAGCATAGCAACGGCTTTGACAACTGATTTGAGTGTTAAACCATTGCCCAAGTCTCAGATGAACGCCTGAGTGGTGCATGTTCAGGACTGGCCCAGAGCAGCACACACAGGCTTTGATAACTGAACTGAGATTGGAACCATCATCCACAGAAGGCGATACGAAACTTGCAGCCTGAACTCAATCAGGTTGATTGCCTGCTTAAACGAACATTCTCCAGAGGAGGATTTTAACAGGGCCCAGAGTCTGCGTAATGTAACTGTCACAATGTCCAGGATACAATAGAAAATTACCTGTCATACAAAGAAACAGGAAAATGTGACCAAATCCCAAGGGAAATGACAAGCAACAAACACAAACCCTGAGATAACACAGATGTTGGCATTTTCCTAGAATTTAAAGCAGCTATTACATGTTCCAGGAGGTAAAGATAAATGTAAAGAAAGGCATCTTCAGCAGAGAAAAAGAAACGATGAAAAAGAACCAGGTGGAAATTTTGAACTGAAAAGTACAATAACCGAAATAAACAAATTCAGTGGATACAGCAGAATGGAGATGAGGAAAGAGGCAGTGCACTTGAAGATAGAGACATCAACAGAGATTATCTAAACTGAAAAGCAGAGAGGGGAAAAAACAACTAGAAAAAAAAAAAGAGAACATATGAGCATCAAGGATCTCTGCAATAATATCAAAAGTTCTAACATACAAGTCATCAGAGTCCCAGAAGGAGAGGAGAAAGAGATGGAGGCAGAAGAATTATTTGCCCTTAACAATTGGGACCTAATTTACTTCTCCCATATCATATTCTATTCTCTTTAACATATGTATATGCCTTTTGTTTCAATCACATTACACTTTTCTCAAAGAGACATTCCCTGACTCTGAAAAACTAAAACAGGTTCTCTTAAATCATAACACCTGTACTTTCTGGGGTAAACTGGGAGGTGATTAATGACCAAATGGATGGGGCTGGAGAGATGGGTTGCAAGGGAAATGATGATGAGACTCAGGTGTGTATAATCTGGAGCCTAAGTGGGTGAGCTGGAGAGTAATCAGGTGGAAAAGAACGTTTCAGATAAACGAGAAAAAAATATTTACACATTTTGAGGCTGTGGTCTGTTTGGTCAAAGAGCAAAAGGAAACAAAAAGCTAGAGTAGGATACACAAAACAAGGCCTTTCCTTCATCCACTGGCATAACTTTTTAAAAATAATTAATTTTTATTTTTGGCTGTTTTGGGTCTTTGTTGCTGCGTGCGGGCTTTCTCTAGTTGCGGCGAGCAGGGGCTACTCTTCCTTGCGGTGCGCGGGCTTCTCAGCGCGGTGGCTTCTCTTGTTCTGGAGCACGGGCTCTAGGCGCGCCGGCTTCAGTAGTTGCAGCACGTGGGCTCGGTAGTTGTGGCTCACGGGCTCTAGAGCACAGGCTCAGTAGTTGTGGCGCACGGGCTTAGTTGCTCCGGAGAATGTGGGATCTTCCGGACCAGGGCTTTAACCCGTGTCCCCTGCACTGGCAGATGGATTCTTAACCACCGCGCCACCAGAGAAGCCCCCACTGGCATAACCTTATTCAGGCATTCTGCAAATCAAAGCCCTGCTCCACTTCCTTACAACAACGGAATTATTTGAAGGGACTGGGGGTGAGAGTGTGCTTGAAACCGCAGTTTTGGCTCCAGATTTCTTGAGCTATTGTGTCCACTGATTCGCTGACTGACTTTGGGCAAGTTGCTAGTTTCTATGACTCAATCCTCCTATCTTAAAATCAGGATAACACGTAATTTAGAGTGTTGTTATGAGGATCAATTGAGATCATACACGTGAAAGCTTACATATGTGGTTCAACAAATGCTGTGGAGTAACAGATGAACTGCAGATCAATAGACGACAGACCTTAAAGGAACTAGGGCAGGAATTTTAGAAAGTTGTATAAGGACAGACCTTGGGGTTCCCTTTATCCCCCAGGAGACCCGGGGAGAGGGAGCGAAGCCATACCTTGTATTTCTTTGCCAGCACTTCCTCCTGACGGCTTGGCTGCATCTTCCCTCCTGATTCGTCGGGTCCCAGGCTGCGGCTTCAGCTCGCTCCGCCGCGCGGCGCCCGCCCACAGGGCCTCTGTGAGCTCAGCTAAGTGTGATGCTGAGGCCCGAGCGCGGCGTCCAGTGTCCTGGGCAACCCTATCAACTTCCGGTTTGAGGCAAGGCCGTGGTTGGCTAGGGGCCACATTTCCGCCACGTGACCCGGGCAGGCTCCCTGCGTGTGCGAGGGCGCGCCTCCGCTGCCGGCTACACCCGGCGCGTTCAGAAGTTCTAGTCCTCGGCCCGGACTGGGGCCTCCCCCGGGGAGGTGGCGCCAGCCGAGACCGCCAGCTCTGGAGGCGCGGGGCCGGGGCAGGGCTTGGAGTTCTCGAGGCTCCTCTGAGAAGCCGAACGGCAGGAAGACCGCTGCTCGCGAGCCTCCAAGCTGGAGCTGGAACTGGAACCCTGTGGGGCCGGGGCCCAGGCTGCCGGGCAGCGGCTTTTCCCGGCCGAGGCCCCAGCGGAGAATGAGCCGGAGGCGGTGGCGGGCTCCCGGCGGAGCGGCCGGGCTGGGAGCATGCTGCGCTGGTTCATCACCGTCCTCCTGTGTGCCGCCTTCCTGGGGCTGGTGAGAGCCGGGGCTGGAACCCTCCCAGGCCGAGGCGTGAGCAGAAGTCCTGTAGAGAACGCGGCCTTCCGAGCTCCTGTCTCGTTTCCGCCGCTTGCAGACTGGGTGTCCTTGGGCTCCTTAATCTGCCGGGGCCTCAGTTTCATAATCTGAAAAATGGGCACAATTATAATCTTAGAGGGCTATGGTCAAGTGTGAAACCGATTTTCGTAAAATATTTTCCAGCACCAGCAAACCTTTCTACCTCTCCTCCGTGGGGTCGGGGGGATGCAAGAGGGGTTGCCAGGTTTATAGCCTACCCCGAAGCCCCCCCCCCCCCCCCTCCTGCGTTCACCCAACCCCCAAATTATTGCACAAAGTTGCTCTACTGGTTTTTTCTCTTCCTCGGCTGACCAAATTCACCCCTTATTTTTGCAGGTGGGGAAATAGACCCAGAGAGGGAAAGTGACTTTTTCGGACCACACAGCTGGTTAAGTGGTTGAGCCAGGAATAATGTCTCTTATTTTGCCTACAGTTTTATGTAAAACAAAATTTCAGGTCCTTCAGTGTTTTTCTAAGAACAAACTGCAAGGCTAGTTTGGCCTTTTGCCAACCCCTTTGGCCGCCCTGTGGTCACTTGTCTTAAATATTGGGATCCTGGGGAGTTGGGAGGGTGAGTCCTCTGAGCAGAGTCACTTGTGATCACTTAGTGTCTCTTCCTATGAGCCACGCTTGATTCTTAGAGTATTTGTATTTGAAGAAACGTCACTGCAGATGATGTGCCAGGTCCGTTTAAGTGCTTTGCAGGCGGGAACTAATTTGGTTACAGCTGGGGCGCAGCCTTCCCTTCCTGTACTAGGCACTTACTCTGCGCCTGTGCCCAAGCTTGCCCGTAGCTGGGGACTGCTCAGGCCTGGAGAGGGGCTACATCCAAGCGTTTAGAGCAAATTCGTGCAATTAGAATCACTTATTCTTGAAATGTAGACCGATTAGAAACATTTTTTGTGTGTCCAGCGAATTTCCTGTGAAAGCCAACTGCAGCCCCTAATTTTTGCTGAAGTTACATGTCTTTGAGTAAAATTTTATTTTTAAAGTCATTGCATACACGCATATGTAATATTCTCTAAGAAAGCCTTACAGACAGTACTCCTGAGGCTTTGGTTTTCTTTGAAGAAAAATGTAGATTTAGAAACATTCAAATTGTTTATCTCTTACATGTTTTATATGTGTAATTCAGAGGAAGGACCCCATGTACATCCAGAAATATTGCTGTTTTAACAACATCAAAAAATGGATAATATTTTGATGGTTTGTTAACTTAAATTTTTAACCTCAAAATTCTGGTGTTATTTGTGCATGCAGTATATTTCAGACTATTCAAAACTATTTCATAAATTTTTTAATGTTACATTTTACTGTTAATACAAATACTGTCGTTTTTTTCTGGTATTGTTCAAAAAGGAAACAGAATTGCAGCAAAGAGCCAAAAGAATTAAAGAATTTTGTAAAAATCGAGAGTTGTCAAAACTAGAAAAGCACTAGGACTTGGCACACCAGAAATAGGAGTCTATAGCTCTACTAGTACTAGTATTTTCATTATGAATTTTACTGTGGGGCTTAATCTCCTACATTACATTGAAATCCCCTCCTCCCTTTTTAATACTGAAAAAAAGCTACCACCTAGATAGACATTATTTTAATGATTGTAAATGAAAACTTATGTCTTTTTAAATTTTAGGGAATGAGTGTCGCTATACTGGGACCCACGTTTCAAGATTTGGCAACAAATGTGAACCGCAATATCAGCAGTCTTTCTCTGATTTTTGTGGGCCGTGCCTTTGGATATTTGGGTGGCTCTGTGATTGGTGGAGTTCTTTTTGACAGTATGAATCATTTTCTTCTTTTGGGTAAGTAAACAACAATTTTCGCTTCTTTGTGACTTTCGAGGAATTTACAGTTTGTTTGTAAATATGAAACATACTGGCTTGCAGAATGGTTGACAACTTAAGGGTAGTGTTTAGGTATCCTCAGTGGAAGTCAGGTTTGCCTGGTGCCTGCTTTCATCTTGGCAGTTACTGGGAATCCGGTCTAAACCCCTCTGGGAATTTAGATTAGCCCTGGAGTGTGTTAGTGATCCTTAGCCTTCCCGACGTTCATTGTAGTTTAGGCACCACCACTGGATAACATACAAGTTGTCCAAAGAGCTCTGATTGTCAGGGTTTAGGGCAGATCTCCTGGGGCCATAGATCAGAATAAACTCCTTGAACCTCCCCAGATTAGACCCTGGACTGAGAATGAGGTGGGAGGGGATGGTGGGTGAAATGATGAAGGCTCAATTTTTGTCCCAGCTGCTCCATGTTAATGATTACCCCCAGGCCTCTCTACCTCACTCTCAAAATAGATGGCAAAGCTTTTAACTTACTCTTTTTTTGGATAAGTTGACATGTTTAAAGAAAATCTGGATTAATGTGATAAAACTGCTTTGGACGTAAGGAGATAATTTACCATTGTTGATGAATGAGTAAATAATCTCTCTGATTTCCATAGTGTGTCGAAAGAATATACTTCTTATATTTCCCTCCCTATTCCCCAAATTTGTTTAATACATTTCTACTATGAACTACTATAGTAATTGCATTTAATTTTTGTCTTTTTTATTTTTTACCTCATATCTAAACATCTCTTTAGGTTGTTAAATATGAAACATTTAAATGAATAATTTTTGAGCTCTGTTTTGCTATAAAACTTTGCCTTGTGGTATAATGTATGGTTTGATTATTAGCAGTACTAGAAATGTATTTATAGTAGAATAACATATTTCATAGTCCATAAAGATGATAAAAGCTTTTAAATGAAATAACTGTTAGTAGAAGCTAAACCTCTCATCTACTCATTATTACTCAATTTTAATTTGACCTGTTTTACATTTTTGGGAGTTTTTATGATGTTGCCTTGATCCATAACCCTTTCCCATAAATAGTGTTTTTTATAGCTGACTTTTACTTTTCTTCTCAGGGATGTCAACGTTCGCTACCACAATTGGTCTTTATCTTGTTCCATTTTGTAAGGCCGCGGTGTTACTGATTGTCATGATGTCCACCTTTGGTGTTTCAGTTGGCATCCTGGATACAGGTCAGTGAGCCCTTCATTGTCAACTCTGGGAGTAGGGACTTTCTACTAGAAAAAGTAGAGCATATGATATTAATTTGTCACTTGCAGTGTCCCCTAAAATGACACTGACCTACTGAGTTGGTCATGGGGTCTCCAGGTCAGAACCACTTTTCCAGCAACTACTCTTCTTGCCAAGTAGGGTGCCCATTTTTGAGCAGCCAACCACAGAGTGAATTCAGAGTATTTTGTTCTTTGAGAGATTGTTGATTTACAGTATCCAAACAGGGAAGGGGCCCCCCTGTGGGTAATTACAGTGCAGATGGGCAGGTTTTCATTTCGGGATAGAACTTTATCATTGTAATATGGCAGGAATTGATGGGTTAATAGAACAGACCGAGTTTGGAACCATTATTTGGCTGAGGAAACATAGAAGCAGCTCTCCAATTTAAAATGCACTCTGCCTTTTGAACTAAGAGAAACCTGTGCTGTGTATTATTTCCCTTCTTTTCCTATTCTCTCAAAAGTTCCTGCCCTCCTGCAGGAGATCCTCTCCATGTATCTTCATATCTTTTAAAACCTACTAAATAACATATGTGACATTTGTTCACCCCTGAAACCAACGTTCTCCCCCTCTTCCTGTTATTTGATAGGTTGGGGAAATATTTTTTTGCTTGGGGCTTAATTTGGTTGTGAAATTACAGGATGGAATTGTGTGGAATTGTATGTTTATCTGCAAATATATTAAAAAGAAAGAGAGAAAACACAAGACTTGAGGCTTCTTGCCTTTCACCATGTAGATACATAGACAGTGTAATTGAGTGTGTTAGAAGGTGTCCGTGTTCCTTGTTTCCTGCAATGGGCACAGCAGAATCCTGTAATGTTCAGCTTCCTGAACATGTGTTTTGCATCTGCCATATACATAAATAGTTTTCTTCAAGTGGCTACCGATTGCAGGTACAGAAAAATTTGGTAATTTGGCCACTATCTGATGATAATATATATTTAAAATGTTTAAAAATAACTATATAAATATCCTTCCCTACCCCCACCCCTCCTATCCCTGGTATTAGAACTATATTATAAAAAGCCTTGGGCTAATGTACTTGGCTCTAGGAAATAGTGGTTTATTAGCTTGTAGAATCCCATTTGTGAGTGTGTGATGTTCCAGTGCTCAGAGTTCGCTGGTGGTATTGGTGAGTTAGAGTTTCTTAATCATAGAATTGACTTAGTTGCAACAGTTGATAACTTAGAATATTATAATCCTTGTGCCATGTAAAATAGACTCATCTATTTTGAACTTTTTTTTTACTAAGTTACTATGATTAAATCATTCTCCCCATCTTTCATTGGTAGGTGGTAACGTCCTAATCTTGGCTATTTGGGGGGACAAAGGAGCCCCCCATATGCAGGCCTTACACTTCAGTTTTGCCTTGGGTGCCTTTTTGGCTCCCCTGCTGGCTAAATTGGCATTGGGCAGGATGGTGTCTGCTGAAAACCACACAGAGGCTGACTTTAACCATTCTGCCCTCAACCAGTCATCTGAAGCTGACTCAGAATCTCTACTTCGAATACCTGACAATATGAATTTACTGTGGGCTTACGCTGTTATCGGTACTTATATTTTTGTAGTTTCTCTCTTTTTTTTCGCTCTTTTTATAAAGAAAAGCTCAAGGCAGGATAAAGCAAAAGTATCTACTCAGAGGTTTCGAAGAGCTAAATATCACAATGCCCTTCTTTGTCTCCTTTTTCTGTTCTTCTTTTTTTATGTTGGAGCCGAGGTAACATATGGCTCTTACGTTTTCTCCTTTGCAACCACCCATGCTGGCATGAAAGAAAGTGAAGCGGCTGGGTTGAACTCCATCTTCTGGGGGACCTTTGCAGCCTGCAGGGGTATGGCAATCTTTTTTGCTACATGTTTACAACCTGGAACCATGATTGTGTTGAGCAACATTGGCAGCCTGGCTTCATCTTTATTTCTGGTGCTTTTCGACAAGAGCCGAGTTTGTCTCTGGATAGCAACTTCAGTGTATGGCGCCTCAATGGCAACCACATTTCCCAGTGGTGTGTCTTGGATTGAGCAGTACACGACCATCCATGGGAAAGCTGCAGCATTTTTTGTAGTCGGTGCTGCCCTGGGAGAAATGGCTATTCCTGCAGTAATTGGAATTCTTCAAGGAAAATACCCTGATTTGCCTGTAGTTTTGTACACCTGTTTGGGGTCATCAGTAGCCACTGCTGTTTTATTTCCTGTGCTGTATAAATTAGCCACCTTGCCTATCAGTCGTCAGCATAAAGAACACAGTAAAAGCGAGGACCAGAAAGCTTTGCTGTCTAGCTCTGGGCTAAATGACTATGAGGAAGAGAATGAAGAAGAAGATGCAGAAAAATGGAATGAAATGGACTTTGAAGTGATCGAAATGAATGATACGATGAGGAATTCTGTAATAGAGACATCTAGATATATTTTGATGGAGCCCACAGCTGACGTCTCCAACCAATCCCACTCAAATGCGTTAATGTTTGAGTCCTCTCCAGTTAATATGGGCAAGTCCCCTGTGAATCACCTTGCAAGAAACCAGGACAAAAGGGACTAAGGGCTAGAGAAGATGAATTATTTACTGACTTCCCTGAAGAATCACCAGTTCTAAAGAGGCCAGTCAGAGCAAAGCATAACAGATTTTCAACAAGCTTTGGGGGTCAAAATTTCTAGGTCCAAGTATAGCAAATGCTAAAAGGTTTTGAAATGTTTTGTCATTCACAGAGCCTTTCATAAAGAACCAATGATCTCATACAGCTGGATCCTGTTGTGAGGCTAGCGTTTGGTGGCATGTGGCTGATTAGGGAATATTTTCTGGTCTCAAGAGTGTGCAGAGAAGGCATTTGTTTTTGAGAAGTTGGGTGCCATTCAGATAGAATGAAACTGTTTAGTAGTTGAATTGGTTAGCTGAACAAATTATCCGTCGTCAGTATTCTGCCAGGGAAGTTGAGGAGAATCATTTCATAAAAGAGCATCTTTGAAAATGGACAGAGATTTTTACTGTTTCCCTCTATCTGTAGTGTTGGACCAGCAAATGCTAATTACTCATATGATTTCTGATTTCTGTGAAGAGAACACAGAATAGGCACAGACCTGGCTTCAGGCCTCCACTGCTGCTCACTAGTCTTCTGGCCCTGTACTCAGTCATTTAACTTATATAGGTCTCGTTTATCTCATCCCCGATCTGTGATTCTCTAATGAAAATGCGATGACTTTCAAACTGGGAATCCATAATTTTTAAAGTTTGTGCAAGATACCTGCTAGAAATCAATATGTGTCACCCCATTCTTCATTTCAAATGAGAAGTGAAAAAAATTGATAGCTTTAAGAATGTGCTACTGACTATGAAGAGTGTCAATTTAAGAGACTCAGTGTTTAATACTTTATTTGAATAATTGTCTGAAGAATACATTTTTAGTACTGTATTTCATCAATTCTGAGATGCACCTTTTTTCACATTTTTAACATCTCTGAAATCAGAATATGTGTTGAAATCAATGATCATTTAACATTGTGGCAAAACTTAATTGACGTTTTTTTCCTATATACTTCTATAAAGTAGTGTTGCATTTTACAATCAGTGTCTTAGTTTCAGTGACTATAGTAATTCATTCAATTATGGAGATTATACTATTTTTACAGACATTTTAAAAAGAGAAGTTATTTTTGTATGCTTATTTTCTCTAATTATGTTCAAACAGGATTTGGAGATGCCTTGTTTCGATTTTTAAAGCTGTTTCAGGGTTACTATGTTAGTAGTAGGGCTGTGGACAGGGTCTCTTGAGGTCCTTTGCCTAGCTCAGTGACACAGTGTGGGTATGAGCCTTGCTGTTCCAGGAATTGCTCCTCATTGAGTCTGGTTGGTAATCATGTTGTACGCGCTGTAAATTAGGTTGCTAGTTTAATTTACAGTGAGACACAGTCTTTTCCAATGGTTGGAATACTTGTATCCCCCAAGTGGATACAATACTCTGGATACAATGCTTGAAGCCCTCTGGGCTTCCTCTTTACTGAGTTTGAAATACCTGGGAAACCAAAGTAATGATTAGAAAGTGGCTTGGGAGCCTAAGAGTCAGGGATCATGAGTATGGCAAATGGGCTATCCTTTGATAAATGACTGGCATTGACAACAGATTTTATTCACTTCTTTTTAGCACATTTTATGCTGAAAAATATCTAATTTCTACTTGGTTGCAGTATGTCTACTTTTTATCTAATTTCTATAAATTTGCCTTTGTTTTAAGTGGAAAACTACCTTTCTTGACCACTGTCCATTATTGGTTCATATTAACAATCTGACAGTTTTGGAGAGGGCTGGTGAAGAAATTAGCAGTGAAAAGCCTATTCTTGCTCTTTTTATACTGTATTTTTCTCTTAGCTAGAACTTGGAGATTATCTCTGCTCCATTTACTGCTTTTCTCAGGTTGTTGGAATTTAGGCAGTAGCAACTGTTTGGCATCTGCGCGGCTTGCTAGAATAGGGATTCTGCCTGCAGCATGTACATTTAAAGGGTAAAAAGGCAACTCAGGGAAAGAAGGTAATAAGAACATGGCAGAAAATTTGGAAATCCATGAAAAATGCATTAGAATTCCACAAACCAAAATGTGAATGGCCAGATGAGATTATAGGCATTGTTAAAGTTTAATAATCTATTTCCGTATTGGAAGGATAAGACTTATTACAATTCAGGAATTAGCATTCATCCTAATAATAAGTTCTTAGTTAAGTAAGTGTCTGCTGATACACAGATAACCAATACCGAAATTTTCTATTGCTGAGTAACAAATTACCACAAATTTAACAGCTTAAAACAGCAGAGTTTTTGTTTCTTTAACCTCATAGTTTCCTTGAGTCAGGAGTTTGGGCACGGTGTCACTGGGTTCTCTGCTCACGGTTTCACAGGGCTGCAGTCAGGCTGTTGGAAGAGTTGTGCTTCTTTGTGGAGCTTGGGCTTCCCTTCCAGGGCCGTGTAGTTTTTGACAGTATTCAGTTCCTTGATGTGGTGGATTGAGGTCTCCGTTTTTTGCTGGCTGTCAGCAGGCACCATTCTCAATTGTTAGAACCTCCCACAGACCCTTGCTGTGTGGCCCTCTCTTAGATCCTCTCAAAAGTATGGCAGCTTGTTTCTTCAAAGCCAGTGGGAGAATCTCTTACCAGAGCCGGCTAAGCTGGTGTCTTTTATAATATAATGTAATCACAGGAGTGACATCCTGTCACCTTTGCCATATTCTGTTGGCTAGAAGGAAGTCGCAGATCTGCCCAAACTCAAGGGGAGAAGCTAGTATAGAGATGTATCTGATTATTGGGGGTCACCCTGGAGTGTGTCTGCTATACTCAGGTACCTGCAAAACTCAAGAGAGCTAGAAAGTTTGAGCTGGGGGGAAGAAAGACCTTCAGCAGTCATTGAAAGTGATTATAGATACAGCCCACTGAATGTCCTAGTGAGGGGATGGAAAGTGCTCCATAGACCAGGCCAATAAACCTAACTCGGAGTTAGGCTTTTTTTTCTTGAGATTTTATTTTGTGTCCTTTACCACTGTGCTTTTTAAAACCCGTTCAAATGCAGCATAATATGAGGGAAATAGGTAAGTTTCAGTTTAATTGTATTTTCATAGTAAAGTCCAAGAACACTTTGAGAGCATTTTTCAATTACTATTATTTTTTAAAGGAAAATCTTTTTTAAAAATCAGTTTTTATTATACAAGTAATGAAGGTATAAAGAAAGGTCATGATAGAAGATTATGGAAATACCTAAAAATATAAGGGACAAATATAAGTAATCATAACCCTAAACACCTGGAGAGTTCTTACATTTCTAATCAACTTAATTTCCTAAGTCAAGGGTAAAGGGGTAAAAAAAAGTTTCTTTCTACCAGATAAGGTATCAGAAACAACTTGAATTTTGTGTCCACATTATATTGATACTACATTTGGTGGACTGGTTTTTAGTTTGAAGAATTGTAGTTTATTAAAAACAAAAACAGTGTAGCAACACATTCCTAAAAAATGTGTGAGACCCAGATTACATGTAAAATGATTTTGTTTCAGGTAGATTTACTGAATAGTCAGGATAGCTTTCTCATAGCCAGAACTTTTGTTTTACCATAGCAATGTACCATTTTCAATCCTGCCGCTTAAAAAGTTATTACTAAAATAGAGCTTAAAATTCTTAGTGGAAGTAGATATATTCTTCTGGGATGCCCTGTATTTGTGTTTAAGTGCCCTTGTTTTGTTCATAGTGTTGTAAATGTTTGTGTGTGTTTGTATATGTGAACCCACAGATATTGTGTGTGTCTGATGTTTTCTTATACTATGGGGATGCTGTGGAGGTAGAGGTGATAGGGAAGGGATACAGAAAAGCTTCCCGTATGATTCAAAGTTTGTTAGAAATGTTCTTTTTTTAAAAAAAAAAAATTATTTATTTATTTTGGCTGCGCCGGCTTTTAGTTGTGGCACGTGGAAACTTTGTTGCAGCATGCAGGATCTTTAGTTGCGGCATGCATGTGGGATCTAGTTCCCTGACTAGGAATTGAACCTGGCTGCCTTCATTGGGAGCGCAGAGTCTTTCCCATTGGACCACCAGGGAAGTCCCAGAATTTTTTTTTTTTTTTTGTGGCACACGGGCCTCTCACTGTTGTGGCCTCTCCTGTTGCGGAGCACAGGCTCCGGACGCGCAAGCTCACCGGCCATGGCTCACGGGCCCAGCCGCTCCGCGGCATGTGGGATCTTCCCGGACTTAGGCACAAACCCGCGTCCCCTGCATCGGCAGGCGGACTCTCAACCACTGCGCCACTAGGGAAGCCCTGTTTTTTGTTTTTAATTGAAATTTTTATGAAGATTACTGTAGATTTACATGCAGTTGTATATAGTGTTTTTTTCAAATTTGCTGAGAGAGGGTTACTTGCTCAATGTGGAAGGATAGAGAACTAGACTAGTGCTTCTCATACTTTAATGTGCATTAGAATTGCTTGTTAAAATACAGATTCTAATTCAGTTGGACTGGGGTAGGACTGAGATTCTACATTTCTAAGAAGCTCCTAGGTGCTGTTGGCCCTTGGATTGACCACACTTTGGGTAGCAAGGTCCACTTTTTGGGAGTGTCAATTTCTTTGCTACTTTTGGGAATTTCATTTGTTTTAGCTTTTCTTTTTTTTTTTTTAAATGGATGACCACAAAAAAGCAAAAATGATTGCAATTGGCAAACATGAAACACACTCATACTATGTCATAATATTGACATTCAGTCCAGTAATCCTCCACTGTAACAGCTGCTTTACTTTGCATTGAAAATTGATTTGTATATTTTTTGCCTCTTGAGTCCTTGTGGGATTTTTTTTTTTATTCAAACAGAAAGTCACAAAAATTATAATCATCCTCATCAGTTCACTCAGTCCCATGTAATCAGTTATTTTTCATCTTGATCTTCTGTTAGCACTTTTCTGAGTTCATCAGTTTTCCATTAGAGTTCTGAAAATGCTTAATTCATTCAGTTCAGCAGTATAGTCAGTTACCAGAAACCTGTACTTCTCAGAGTCTTTTCCATGAATTCCTTGAAGATGAAACCCTTTTGTAGGAACATTTTTGCAAAAGCATCAGAGTACACCCAGAACTCTCTGTAAATGACAAAAGACTTGTCTGTGGCTAGGACTTCCAAGACTATGTTGAATGATAGTGGTGAGAGTGGACATCCTTGTCTTGTTCCTGACCTTAGAAGAAATGCTTTCAGTTTTTCACCATTGCGAATGATGTTTGCTGTGGGTTTGTCATATATATGGCCTTTGTTATGTTGAGGTAGGTTCCCTCTATGCCCACTTTCTGGAGAGTTTTTATCATAAATGGGTGTTGAATTTTGTCAAAAGCTTTTTCTGCCTCTATTGAGATGATCATATGGTTTTTATTCTTCAATTTTTTAATATGGTGTATCACATTGATTGATTTGCATATATTGAAGAATCCTTGCATCCCTGGGATAAATCCCACTTGATCATGGTGTATGATCCTTTTAATGTGTTGTTGAATTCTGTTTGCTAGTATTTTGTTGAGGAATTTTGCATCTATATTCATCAGTGATATTGGTCTGTAATTTTCTTTTTTTGTAGTATCTTTGTCTGGTTTTGGTATCAGGATGATGGTGGCCTTATAGAATGAGTTTGGGAGTGTTCTTTCCTCTGCAATTTTTTGGAAGAGTTTGAGAAGGATGGGTGTTAGCTCTTCTCTAAATGTGTGATAGAATTCACCTGTGAAGTCATCTGGTCCTGGACTTTTGTTTGTTGGAAGATTTTTAATCACAGTTTCAATTTCAGTACTTATGATTGGTCTGTTCATATTTTCTGTTTCTTCCTGGTTCAGTCTTGGAAGGTTATACCTTTCTAAGAATTTGTCCATTTCTTCCAGGTTGTCCAATTTATTGGCATAGAGTTGCTTGTAGTAGTCTCTTAGGATGCTTTGTATTTCTGGGGTGTCTGTTGTAACTTCTTTTTCATTTCTAATTTTATTGATTTGAGTCCACTCCCTCGTTTTCTTGATGAGTCTGGCTAATGGTTTATCAATTTCGTTTATCTTCTCAAAGAACCAGGTTTTAGTTTTATTGATCTTTGCTGTTGTTTTCTTTGTTTCTGTTTCATTTATTTCTGCTCTGATCTTTATGATTTCTCTCCTTCTGCTAACTCTGGGTTTTGTTTGTTCTTCTTTCTCTAGTTCCTTTAGGTGTAAGTTTAGATTGTTTACTTCAGATGTTTCTTGTTTCTTGAGGTAGGCTTGTATAGCTATAAACTTCCCTCTTAGAACTGCTTTTGCTGCATCCCATAGGTTTTGGATTGTCATGTTTTCATTGTCATTTGTCTGTAGGTATTTTTTGATTTCCTCTGACTTTTTTAGTGATATCTTGGTTATTTAGTAACGTATTGTTTAGCCTCCGTGTGTTTGTGTTTTTTATGTTTTTTTCCCTGTAATTCATTTCTAATCTCATAGTGTTGTGGTCAGAAAAGATGCTTGATATGATTTCAGTTTTCTTAAATTTACCGAGGCTTGATTTGTGACCCAAGATGTGATCTATCCTGGAGAATGTTCTGTGCGCACTTGAGAAGAAAGTGTAACCTGCTGTTTTTGGATGGAATGTCCTATAAATATCAATTAAATCTATCTGGTCTATTGTGTCATTTAAAGCTTCTGTTTACTTATTTATTTTCATTTTGGATGCTCTGTCCATTGGTGTAAGTAGGTGTTAAAGTCCCCCACTATTATTCTGTTACTGTCGATTTCCTCTTTTATAGCTGTTAGCAGTTGCCTTATGTATTGAGGTGCTCCTATGTTGGGTGCATATATATTTATAATTGTTATATCTTCTTCTTCGATTGATCCCTTGATAATTATGTAGTGTCCTTCCTTGTCTCTTGTAACATTCTTTAAAGTCTGTTTTATCTGATATGAGTATTGCTACTCCAGCTTTCTTTTGATTTCCATTTGTATGGAATATCTTTTTCCATCCCCTCACGTTCAGTCTGTATGTGTCCCTAGGTCTGAAGTGGATCTCTTGCAGACAGCATATATATGGGTCTTGTTTTTGTATCCATTCAGCAAGCCTGTGTCTTTTGGTTGGAGCATTTAATCCATTGACGTTTAAGGTAATTATCGATATGTATGTTCCTGTGACCATTTTCTTAATTGTTTTGGGTTTGTTTTTGTAGGTCCTTTTCTTCTCTTGTGTTTCCCACTTAGAGAAGTTCCTTTAGCATTTGTTGTAGAGCTGGTTTGGTGGTGCTGAATTCTCTTAGCTTTTGCTTGTCTGTAAAGCTTTTGATTTCTCCATCAAATCTGAATGAGATCCTGAATGAGATCCTTGCCGGGTAGAGTAATCTTGGTTGTCCCTTGTTTTTCCCTTTCATCATTTTAAGTATATCATGCCACTCCCTTCTGGCTTGTAGAGTTTCTGCTGAGAAATCAGCGGTTAACCTTATGAGAGTTCCCTTGTATGTTATTTGTCATTTTTCCCTTGCTGCTTTCAATAATTTTTCATTGTCTTTAACTTTTGCCAATTTGATTACTGTGTGTCTCGGCGTGTTTCTCCTTGGGTTTATCCTGTATGGGACTTGCTGCGCTTCCTGGACTTGAGTGGCTATTTCCTTTCCCACGTGAGGGAAGTTTTCGACTATAATCTCTTCAGATATTTCCTCTGGTCCTTTCTCTCTCTCTTCTCCTTCTGGGACCCCTATAATGCGAATGTTGTTGTGTTTAATGTTGCCCCAGAGGTCTTAGGCTGTCTTCATTTCTTCTCATTCTTTTTTCTTTATTCTGTTCCACAGCAGTGAATTCCACCATTCCGTCTTCCAGGTCACTTATCCGTTCTTCTGCCTCAGTTATTCTGCTATTGATTCCTTCTAGTGTAGTTTTCATTTCAGTTACTGTATTTTTCATCTCTGTTTGTTCTTTAATTCTTCTAGGTCTTTGTTAAACGTTTCTTGCATCTTCTCAATCTTTGCCTCCATTCTTTTTCCAAGGTCCTGGATCATCTTCACTATCATTATTCTGAATTCTTTTTTTGGAAGAATTCAAATTCTTCCACTTCATTTAGTTGTTTTCCTGGGGTTTTATCTTGTTCCTTCATCTGGTACACAGCCCTCTGCCTTTTCATCTTGTCTATCTTTCTGTGAATGTGGTTTTTGTTCCACAGGCTGCAGGATTGTAGTTCTTCTTGCTCTGCCCTCTGGTGGATGAGGCTATCTAAGAGGCTTGTGCAAGTGTCCTGATGGGAGGGACTGGTGGTGGGTAGAGCTGACTGTTGCTCTGGTGGGCAGAGCTCAGTAAAACTTTAATCCACTTGACTGTTGATGGGTGGGGCTGGGTTCCCTCCCTGTTGGTAGTTTGGCCTGAGGCAACCCAGCACTGGAGACTACCTGGGCTCTTTGGTGGGGCTAATGACAGACTCTGGGAGGGCTCATGCCAAGGAGTACTTCCCAGAACTTCTGCTGCCAGTGTCCTTGTCCCCACGGTGAAACAGAGCCACCTCCTGCCTCTGCAGGAGACCCTCCAACACTAGCAGGTAGGTCTGGTTCAGTCTCGCCTGGGTTCACTGCTCCTTCCCCTGGGTCTCATTGCGCACACTACTTTGTGTGTGCCCTCCAAGAGTGGAGTGTCTGTTTCCCCCAGTCCTGTTGAAGTCCTGCAATCAATTCCCACTAGGCTTCAAAGTCTGATTCTCTAAGAATTCCTCCTCCTGTTGCTGGATCCCCAGGTTGGGAAGCCTGATGTGGGGCTCAGGACCTTCACTCCAGTGGGTGGACTTCTGTGGTATAAGTGTTCTCCAGTCTGTGAGCCACCCACCCAGCAGTTACAGGATTTGTTTTACTATGACTGCGCCCCTCCTACCATCTCATTGTGGCTTCTCCTTTGTCTTTGGATGTGGGGTA